AAGGAAGGAAGGAAGGAAGGAAGAAAGAAAGAAAGAAAGAAAGAAAGAAAGAAAGAAAGAAAGAAAGAAAGAAAGAAAGAAAGAAAGAAAACAATGTCATTTAAAGCCTAAGTTAAATGCCTGTGTAGTCCAATGTTAAAAGAAGAAATATGTAAGTTACCAAACTGATTTCAATGCAAGCATTCCTGCCCCCACCAATTTCATCAACCACTTTCTGCTCTGCATTCCCCACCCCCTTTCAGCAAAAGCCATTCAAAGCAATTAGTGCAGTGATAAAATGGTTATCCAGCAACTTTCAAATGGACTGACTAAGGTGAGGATAGGGGCTGGGAGCCAGCTGCATAGATCTGGGTTCCCACCTTATTTTTATCTGTATTCCGAGAAACGCCCACCCACGCCCCAGACAAAAATAATCAAACAGGTCTAGTAGCTGAAAAGTGCTTACCGACTTTGGACTCTTCTTTGGGGCTGGCAATCCTGCAAAAAATGGCAACAAGGAGAAAAAGACAGGATTAGCATATAAATCTTTACCTTCCTTAAGGGGGGGGGAAAAAAACCTAGGTGTATCATCCGAACATAGCCATCTGCAGAGTTATGTCAGATGTTGCTCGAGCATCGGAGTTGCCAGTCTGTTCATATCGAATCAAAGCACAGCTTTTTTTTTCGGAGGGGGGGAGAGTTGGAGCGAGGAGAGGAATGAGAGAAAGAGAGTGCGTAGAGGGGGAGGAGATCTATCTGCATTAGCTATGCTGACTTGTGCTGCAGCAGCCTGGAGGCTGGAGAAAGAAATTCACAGACCTCAGCGGCCTGGGAAATTGAACACTTGGATAGAATCTCAAATGCTCCCCTGGATTAAGAGAGATTTAGCTTACAATTAAGCTGAGGATATTACCTTTTGATGCAACTGGCGTGTGAAATTTATCAGACCAATTGGAACGGTAGTGGATAAACAAGAAAATGATAGATAGATAGATAGATAGATAGATAGATAGATAGATAGATAGATAGATAGATAGATAGATAGATAGGTTTCCAAATACTTTTTTTTAAAAAGGGAAAGCATTTGAGACTTCTTTCATCACAAACCGATGAAACGAAAGCCAAAGACGAGAGAACAAAGGAGGATAACATTTAATGAAAAGCAAGGTCAATTATAAACGTGGATGCTACTGGCAACCCCCCCTAAGTTTCTTGCCAAGTCTAGTCTGCATCATTATATGTGGAGACCCTCAGCTAGTCACGCTGTACAGAATACAGCAGATTCACAATGGATGCACCACTAAGTATATCTGAATACAGAAAGGTGAAAGGATCGCTAAGGAGCAGGAGGAGGGACGAAAATGCAAATAAGAAAACACTTTAAAACTCAGAGGAGAAGTCCAGAGGAGGTGTTTGCATTTTGAACATAGACCCTTAAAACTGCTGTACATACTTTTTTTTTTTTTTTTTGGCTGAAAATGGGATGTATGGGACGAAGAGATTTTCCTTTTCAGCACTTTTTGTAATACAATGTCCCATTGGAAATGGGAGTTTCGTGCTTATATGAACGGATTGGTAATAAAGGAAAACTAGGTTCCTAACCTGATAGAGAAAGGTACTAAAAAAATTAATTTGGGAATAGAAGAAAAACTTACTGTGGAACAAATGGTCAAACGGATTGTTTCAGAAATATACCCTCACCCTCCATGTTACAGTGTAAAAGAACTCAACACGCTTTCCTTCCTTTTTAAGAATGACTTCTTCAGTGTATTAAGATGACCCAATGCTATAAAATTACATGCCTGAGTGAAAAAGAGTAGCATGTATATAAAAGATTTCGATCACGCGCAAGATACTGCCATCAAACAATACGGACTTGTGGCTGATAAACCACCAGGATCCGTAGGACTAAGTCATCTAAGGAGCCTGTAGAACAGCGCCCTCTAAGTTATGGCTCCCTTTCATCAGAATACTATTTATCAACAGTGATAAACACTGAATTAAATGGTTTTCATTCTGATATGCTTGTGCTAGAAGCAGGGCTGCTTTCTCTGCATATTGTCCATATCATCACCTTTTCTAGACACTAAATTGTCGATTGACAATAATTGTAATTAGGAAACAGTAGCATGGTGGATGTTCCAACTGCCTTGTCTAGCAGCACCCTAGACAAGTTTTTGTTGTGAGCACCTATTTATGTTAATGAGTTGGCTTGGGATCATATGGCACTGAAAAACAAACAAACAAACAACTTATGTATGTATGTATGTATGTATGTATGTATGAATATGAAGGAGTCACGTTCTATGCTTATAAAGTCCCTCCTGTGGCAGGTTATGTGAAGGCAGAAAATGTGATGGTCCCCAGACCACTCTGGCCTCTGGTGGAGTACAGCAGCAACAAATAAGAAAACAGCTCAAATTAAATATACAAAGTGCAAAACTCAGTTTTGCTGAAAAGCAAGCATATGGGTCCCATGCAGTCTCACAAAATGCTAAACCAGAATTGCTAAGAATTCTGCCTTGTGGTTTAGGAGCAACTTTGCTGGTGTCTGCTGACTTACTCTTGTCAATGGACTCCCTTTGCAAGATGTGGTGATCGGAAAATAGCTAGGGTAGACCAACTTAGTTTTATGCCTGAACCTGGACCATAGCTTGTTGTTCCATAAGGAACCTGGGATATGTAAATCAGCCTAAAACCCTGGCTCCAAACAATCATACAAAGAATTTTTCTTTTCTTTTTCGTTGTGGCGAGTTTCTGGTTACTTCCACTTGCAGGAGCTTGCTCCAAATAATAAACCAGGGTTCTCAGTCATTCTGAGTTAGCATTCTTAGATGATGCAGCCATCAGGAAAAGCTGGTTTAGGAGATGAGAGCACTAAAGTTAAGAACTGAGCATCTACCAATGGAGATTAAGGTCTTCACAGCAGCTCATATTCATTATCTCAACCATCCCTAAACTGTACTCTTAAAGAGGTCTTGTTCTAGATGAGCAGCTCTAGTTGACAGAAAATGTTGAAACCTGAGGATGGCAGCTGAATTTAGCACACTCAAGTCTTGCCTCTTCACAGCATCCCACCCCATTCCTTTGGGACTACAAAGGTTGATGGGGAAGGAGGGAAGATCACCCTTGGTTGACTTTTCATTTGCATTCCTATGGGAATCATAACCCTTTTGCCTTATAGTCTCACATTCCATCCCAGGTATTTGAGATGTTTTCCTTGATCGGAGGCTTTCTTATAAACAAGAGACAGGGCTTTTTTCAATACTTCAAGAATTCTCAACCTCCTTAGGAAAGAATTCTAGGGTGAAGGGCGCTAAAAAAAAAGAAAAGAAATTCTTAAAAAAAATTCAATGAACTCTCAGTTTGTGGAGGAAATATGACCGACCAACCAACCAATTAGTAAACTTCTATAATAGTGAATGATTCAGTCTGGATCGTAACATCAGATGCAGTAGATCATTACTATGCAGCAAGTTAGGTTTGGCAAGAAATTTGTATGCCAGCTTCCTTGGCTACCAAGTTCTCATTAAGAAGTCTAATTCCTACCAGCCTAGAGCTGCTACCTCCAGTCTGGCCCCTCTGGAGATTGGACAAATATAATAACTATAAATTCCCAGCTAACTCATGAATTACAAGTTCTGCCAGGGGATGGTCTAATGCTCTACTTTTACGGGCATTTCCCATCCACCTCCCTTTAATACAGAAATATTTTGCATTCACCTTGTAGAACAGACACAAAAGACCTTTGTGCATATTGCAAATCAACATAGAAACCCAGATACATGCACGCAATAGACGCCACTGCACACGTGTCCCTCAACCCACCCACCCCTTTCTCCATCTTATTAGACTTAGCAGGAGGTTCTGTCTGTTAGTGCAACTCTCATGACTTGGAAAAAGAAACTCCACATTGTAAGAGCCAATCTGGCACTAAGCACCAGCTTTTCACTTCCATATTTCAATTATGGAGTCAAATGAGAAATTAAAAACTTAATATGCTCTGGGCTATATGATGGGCTTTCACTGAACCAGAGAGAACAAGACTCTGCAATTTCCTTGAATGTTTGAGAGAATCTTAGATGAGCAAAGTGGTATGTTTGTCTTGATTTGTGAGAATGGCCACTAAGCCTGTATCTGCCATTTTAATCAATGCTTGTGGCAACATTGGTGTCTTGCAAGCAAAAACACACAGGAAACAGACCTAAACCACTTTATTTATATGTTTACTGGCCAGTCTCTCTTCCCTTCATGCATCAATCAGAGGAAACAGCTGGGAAGCACCACCTGTTTCCAACCCAAATGCAGATTATTCCCTGCTATTGCTCCTGGATTAGGATTTTAGGATTATTTTTGTTTCTGGCCAGAGTGCACCTGGAGCTAAAAGATAATACATCCAGGGATGTCCACATAGATGGTAGCCTTAATTAATAAATTAATAATTCACTAAGTTCAGAAGAGTTTTACACTGCTGACTTCATTGGTTCTGACAGAATGATGGTAAAATCTTGGAATTATGTTACAACATCGAGTTCTTACATAATTTAATTTATCACTTGAGGGATTGTTGTATTGTCTTTCATCAAAGTTGGACTAGACCATGAGTAACAAAAAAGTCCATCAGAAAAAGAAAAGATTTAGGAGATATTACTTTATACATACATACATACATACATACATACATACATGCATGCATGCATACATATAAACCTAATAAGCACAACTAATACTGGAGGGAGATGGAAGAAGTTCATTGGAACTAGTATAGGAAACTAATATTTCTGGCATAGGTGTACCATCTGAATATGGAATACTGTCCTCTACTGGACATAAACATTCACAGTAATTTTTTATAAAGAAATCAAAGCCCATTCACAAAAACAGAGACTACATATATACCCATTATGTTCTTTACATACACAAAATGTCACTTTTCAATGAATGCTACACACAAGGTTCATCTAAAATGAAGGAAAAAGAACATATACATTAAACTAATTATCAGAAACATCTGAAACAAAACATCCTGTTTAAATTTCAGCATTCATTAAAGTTATGTTTTATATAGGTTGTAGAGTCCTTGGGGTTCTCTGAGCTTGGTTGTTTTCAGTGAAGATGTTACCTACTTGGGTAATGAGACGTCTGCAAGAAAACAACCAAGCTCAGAGAACCCCAAGAATCCTACAGTTCAACCCTGAACTACACATATTCGCTTCTATTGGTTTACATAGGTTGCTGGGGGAAAAGGATAATCATGAACTATTAAAGATTTTTATAAATCACTGTTTTGTATTTTGGAATTATTTGGATGTTTGCAATATTATCAATAACTATCAGTGTTGTAACTTCTTGCTGTAGTAATACTTTTTTCTTTTCTTTTTTGCACGGCATTCTCGCTGATCTATTAAAATAGAACTATTTATTATCTTTTCAAATAGTTGGCTGTTTATGGATTCGTGAATCATACTGGTAGCACTTAAAATACCTTAGGGCAGGAA